TTCCCCGAGTTTCTCTCTAGTAGGGCAGCCCACTGAAATGAATGGTCTGCTCTACGCATGACGTATGGGAACTATGAATTCCTGGGTTTAATACAGTGGCAAAAATATTCAAGAGTGAACATGTACAAATGTGAATGTTATTTTAAAGGGAGCACAAGAATAAGGGCTCACAAGGTGTTGTATCCCCTCTTCTCCACCTGCTTCAACCATTTGGATTCCACAGTAGCATGCTGCAATTACATGCACTGAAGAGTAGCCCCCTTCATTTGAATTGGTTGCAATTGGTAGATGATAGCAGCCTCTGAAAGCAACAGGGAGTATAATTCCTGGCGCTGCCTTGATGCAAATAATCGCTGCCTCTGCAGCTAAGGGGGAATGGCTAACACACACACCAACTACTAGTGTGAAAGACATACGCGTTCATAGAAAACACATTGGAGTCAATTCTATATGCAAACAGATTTTGTGCAGTGATGTAGTAAACTTCTGCAGCGAATTCAAGTAAACCTTGCAACATATGTGTTAATTTTTCATATATGTGTGACAAATTCATACATTTTTTCTTTTATGACATTTTACTGCCAGGTCACTAGGGCGGCAACAAATCCAGTAGAAAATACCACCAGACTGGTATTCGGAACAAGACCAGTGACATATTGATCTTGTTTACTTCTGCCAACCTGTTCCATAAAAAGCAGAAGAAATATTTCAGCCATGGCTTGCACTTGTGGCCTAATTCGTTCCTCTGTGTGAAGGTGGTCATGGGGTAGCAGTGAACTTGTAACCATCTCCCAGTATATTGACTCCACAGTTCCCTATGTTTCTTTCTTTCTACAGCTGACAGCATAAATCACCGGAGGTCTTTAATTTGGACAAACACAATTGCTTTATTGAAGCTGTTTTTCAATTAGTATAATTGCCCTTTCTGATGTTTTCAACATTGATTGGGACAAAGGTTGACTTGACCTGACTAATGAAAGTGAAACAGATGTTCTATGTGATTTATATCCGTGCAGCTGGCCTGTTTTGTATGTGAAAGGGTGGCACAATCGGGCAGATGGAAATGCTATTAAATATTAACCTATTCTAGTTCTTAGAGGAACATGGTCCTGGTATATGTATAGACAGCAAGAATGGATCACATATTTACAAGTCTAATTCTATTTTTACAAAAGACCAGACCATAAAGGTCTATCTTGGAAAATATATCTTTTCGAAGGTACACCATGGCTTTGGAAGGATGGTGCTTAGAGAATCCACCTAAATCAGAAAGTCAGCTATAAGTTCCTCACCTGGCTCATGCACCTTGCCACCTCTTCAGTGGGGAAAGCCATTCCTACCCTTACTTCATGTTGCACCCACCCGACATTTTGGAAGGAAGTATGGAATGTGATCTTAGGCCTAGTTCACATTGGTATTGAAAGCAAACTTTTAAGGGAAGTTTTTAAACGCTCCTCAAATGCCTATGCAAATGATACTATGGACAGTACACAGTGCTGTTCACATTATCAAAACATGAAGTGTTAGCATCGCATCACTTCAAAATTGAAGCCTCATGTCGAATCTGGAGGACCTTTCAACACCTCCCATTCAAGTCTATGGTGACGCTCCGAAAGCGCGCTGGTAGGCGTTTGCGGGTCGTTTGCAGTCTGGTTGCATCGCGATAATAACATTACAGTTTATTATAGGCATTTGTGGTTCGGTTTTAATGCTTGTAAAATGGCTATAAAATGCATCAAAGCCATGCATAGGGCATTTGGGGAGCGTTTTTAACTCTTGTAAAACACCACTGTAACGCCCATACTAAAGCTCATTAGTGCCTGTCTAACGCCCATACTGAAGCTCATTAACATCTGTGTCACGCCCATACTAATGCTATAGGAGCGTTTATTAAGAGTTAGATATTTAGTCAAGTGTGAACAAGCCCTTAGATTCATAAATCTGCACCTCAGTAATCTGCACCCCAGTAATGTCTTCTTGGATTTATCACTTTTTTAAAATCTCCCATTGAATCCAATGACACAAGTGCTTGCCTAAGCATCCTTTCTCACCCTTGTTAACACAGAGGAACCCTTGAAATAACGTTTGGGTCTCTGCTAATGATTATCTACAACTCATGGTACATTAGCATCCTTGTCAGTGGGATGTGTGCTCCTTACATTTGTGGTCAGTGGGAAGACCACTAAACCAGGAGGGTGCAGTATCTAGTGCAGTTCTGCTCAGAAACCAATCAGCTTCTAACTTCAGCTTGTTCAATTAGGCGTTGGCAATAAAACCTGGAAGCTGATTGGTTTCTATGCAGAACTGCTTTAGATTTTTCACCCTCCAGGTTTAGTAAATAACCCCTTTTGTATCTTTGGCTACTAATACTAAATGGGTGTGACTTTTTCATTATTAATCAGCTGATGCACTTGCAGTGTTCTAATCAGGAAAGTTGCAGGGTCAGCATCCCCTTGTGATTAACCCATTGGGAGCATCTCACCAAAAATGACATTTTTGTTGCAGAGGATGCCTAATTTCTGGCTAGTATCTTAGTGTAGATTTCTGGGAAAATCAGTGAGCCAATCACACAAGCAGGAAATGACATTTCTAGGGGGTTCTGTACACCATTACACCAGCATATGTGCACAGAAGGCCTCCAGGTTGCCATTCTGTATAGAATTTTACAGAACATTACAGTGATTGAAAATGAAAGGTAATTGTTTATAACATTTAATTACAGTATAGTTTATTCAACAATTGTATATTCTTTTTTTTGCTATTTTGCTATTTTTATTCCCATGAAAGCAGAGTTACCCTTTAAGGTATGTGTACATAGCAATGTTATCTGTGTAGTTTAAGCAGAAAGCATTGCATATCCACAGAGTTTCTGCAAAAGCCCAGTCGGAATCAAAGTTAATGCGTGGAAGTCCGCTCTAATCTTGTAAAGGCGGCTCATTAAGTCAGCTTTTATGGGAGCTGTGCGGATGTTCTGGTCTGTGCTTCTAGCTTAAGCATATACTTGTGTTTATGACGTGTACCAGTTAGGGTAAGTAATCCTCTGTATTAGATCCCCCTAGACAAAAGAAGCCTTATAGGTTAAATCTGCATATGGTGGAAGGGATGCATTTCATTTTCCTGGAAAGCTGAGCGTTCTGCTTTAATTGTTAAGATAGAAGTGAATTAACACCTGATTGATGCTGACTTTCTTAATCAACTAAACATGCCTCTTTTACTTTAAATGTTTCCTCCCAGGAAATCTTATGCAAAATACTTTTTTTTAGTCTTTGAAGTATTATTTCTCCATAGCCCTTATAATGGAATACTACAGTATATTAATATTTCATTTGAAATTTGTACATTTATTGCACATATTTTTGTTTTATATATAATAAGAATTATAGCAAATTGTCCATAACTGTTATAATGCCATATAATAATGCTTCATTTGTGATTTGAGTATTTATTGCACATATTTTTCGTATTGTATCATGGTAAATTGTTTCAAATTATATTCAGGCACAGTGTTTTTGAGCTAGTTAATGGCTTTGGCTTTTATCTCCCCGACTTGTCAAATGTCCACAGTGTAGTAAAGTGTAGTAAAATATAGCCCGTAATCGTAGTATGGGTGTAGCTCTGTTACCAGATGTCTCTTCACTTTATTTCTGTGTCCAATTTATATTTGTATTTATCATTTGTTAATGTTTTATAGATTTTTCTTATTTCTAATTAGTGGTAGCAGATGAATATGAGGCTAATTAAGTTGTTCTTTTAAATTACTATTGCCAATCTTATTAGGAATCTGTGTCTTCTTATAATTTAAAGTGATTGTAAACGTTCACCTTGTAAAACAACCCATTCAGTTTAAAATAGAAATGAAAGGCAAAACATTTGTGCATAGATATAAAAAAAAAAATTATATACACATTTTTTTTTTTTTCCTTTTTTATAAGCGATCATATACTCTCTGTTCTCTCTCTGTTCTCAGCTTACATAAGAGTTAGGGGAGGAGAAACAGCAGCACACTGATCTTCCCAGTGAATCGCTTGCAGGGGGGTAAGCATGTAAGGACAAGTGTGATCATTAGAGGAGAGAATACTGACTTTCCAGCACAGCTAGAGAACTGACCACGGTGTGCTCTCATGCTTAGTGTGGTTGGTTTTTAATAGGAAAGCAGAGGGACTGGCAGGAACACCAGGGATTTCACCCAAAGGAAGCAATACAAAGAGAACAGGATACTTTTTCATATAAGTACATGGTACAGCAGGGACATATCAGTAATATGAAATGTTGGGTTTACATATTCTTACCATGTCCTTATTTTTTATCAGTTAGTACCATACACTGTGTGTATCAACAAAAATGTTTAAAATTGATGAACTGTTCTATGTACTAACCAGGGCTGTATTTAGAGTTTGCACTGTCCAAGGAATACATTAACAATGGTGTCTTTGTATAGGCTTCAGCTATTTTTCATGGAAAGCATAGCTTAGTATACTCCTTCCTACTCATAGTACTCTCCTAGATTGTAAGCTCCAAGGAGCAGGGCCCTCAAACCTCTCATGTATCGCATTGTATTGTTATTGTAATGTCGCATGTATTGTCTCCCATTATATTGTACAGCGCTGAGCGAAATACTGTATAATAATAACAATAGTATAAGATATCCGCAGTTTTTGGGATGTCAACATAAATATCATAGACTTCTACTATCTGAACACTTTTGGGTGGGTTGATACTATCATTTGGAACATTATTCAGAAAAGCACTAGAGTTGGCGTATAACTTCATAATCAATAAAACAATGCAAGAGAGTAAGTCTGGCTTCCTACGTTGCTGCCTGCTGGGAAAGGAGGGGCAGCGTATTTTGCTTTGTTATGGGTACAATATAATTTCTGTGAATTTAAGTTACTCTGTGAATATAAATGATGTTATATAATTAGGTACATTTAAAATGTATGATCCTCATACAATACAGCAGTAATCCTTTTCACAAGTGCTGTTTTCTGCTGTTCCTGCAGAATTCAACCCCCGTTTTGTTCACACCAGACAAGTCCGCTCCCCTGGCTGTTGAGTTTGAAGGAGAAGTTTATGACATCAATTTAGAAGATGAAGAAAATGTGGAGCCCCCACAGACAAGAGTCATCGCCAAGAGACATTACGCTTCTGAAGAAGAAGTGGGAGAGGATATTGATGATGATGAAGAAGAGGAGGATGAAACATTTACTTCCCCTAATGAGGATGATGATGTAATGTTGGCTGATGGTGTGATGGGGATCAGTCACTCTGCATCTGTTAAAGTCACGCATAAGTAAGCATCTGGTGGCCTTCATTTTGGCAGCATTAGCATATTTGAAAAATGAACATTAATTTTAAATATGTACTATGTATTGCTATAAGAATATCACATTTTAGAATTACCTTGTTTTCTGTTTATCTGTCCTTAGAAACGAGCAAATTTTCCTGATATTTGTTCATACGATACAATTTCTAGATATCTTCTTAGATGCATGTAATTTGAGTTTTCAGCAGTTATCAAAAAGAAGGATGAAAATTGTTATTGATGCCTTCCATGCAGGGGCGGACTGACCATTTGGAAACTCGGGCACTGCCTGAGGGCCCGGGGTCAGTAGGGGGCCCCATGAGATGCCCCTGATACCTTTTTCATAGGCTTTTTGGAATTTAGGCAAGGACACAGGGGCCCCATGATCCCCTATTGCCCAGGGGCCCCATGAGTTGTCAGTCCGCCCCTGCTTCCATGTCAATGTTCGGTGTGCTGTACAAGATACCCTACATAGTTATTGGAGTATACAATTATTTTGTAGCTGTTTTGTAAGAGCAATTTGTAGTACCTTCACCTTAGCTTTTTTTTTTGTTTTTTTTGTGACAAAAAATGCATTGTAGTCAATGAACGCTCTGTGTCACAGGAACTCTAAGCACTATAGCTCAATCGCAGAGTATTTTACTTTTGAAATTGGTCTCTAGCTATAGAATTGCCAGCTTCAGGAGGCTAACTGCTAACACTCCTCAAGTATTACTAACAAGCTGGACATGGCTTTCCCCTCTGTTTGCACCTTTTGTGGTTATCAGGTCTCATTGTGCAATAGTGCAGCCTGACAGCCACTGTTCCACAGCTATTAGCAATGTAACTTGTCAACAAACTCCTAACAGACAGGTATGTCTCCTCCTAGAGTGAAATAGGATTTCAGTAATGATTCCTAAAGCAATCACTCAAGGACACACAAATTTAGGTCTTGCCATATTTCATGTTATCCAGGTTTAAAGCCTGAAGGCTTTTTCCCAGACCCCCCCCCCCCCCATATTTACCTGAGCCTGATCTCAATCCAGCGATGTGCATGAGAGCAGCTGCTCTCTCCCTCTTCAATGGCTCTGAGACAGCAACGGGAGCCATTGGTTCCCGCTGCTGTCAATCACAGTCAACAAGATAGGAGCGGGGCCTGAGCTGTGTTACGTGTGTTTATGTATACGCACGAGCATGCATGAATGCCCCCATAGCAAACGGCTTGCTCTGGGGGCATTCGGCAGGGAGGAGGAGTAGACCCCCCCCCCCCCCATATTTACCCTGAGCCTGAATCTCAATCCAGCGATGTGCATGAGAGCAGCTGCTCCTCTCCCTCTTCAATGGCTCTGAGACAGCAACGGGAGCAATTGGTGTCCCCGCTGCTCTGTCAACTCACAGGTCAACAAGATAGGAGCGGGGGCCCAGCTGTGTTACGTGTGTTTATGTATACGCACGCGCATGCATGAATGCCCCCCTTCTAACGGCTTGCTCTGGGGGGCATTTACTCAGGGAGAGGAGTAACAAGGGGGGACCCCAAAAGAGGAGGATCGGGGCTGCTGCGAAACCATTGCACAAAGCAGGTAAGTATGACATGTTTGTTATTTTGAAAAAAAAAACTGGAGCCTTTACAATCACTCTAATTTTTTTTTACACATGTAACAGGGACCAGCGTGAATGATTGATTGTTTTTGATCAGTCATATCGATAAGTAGACATGCCGCCTTCATTCCATATATTTTAAGCGTCAAGAGAATCATCTTATGTTTTTCTCTAGTTATCTTAAAGTCAGTATGTAACTGCCACATCTGATAAAGTGCGCTATGCTATCACTAAGAATCATAGTCAATGGCATCTAAGTTTCGTATATTTTTAGTTTATTTCTGTATTGCTAGAATAAATGGTAACTGAATCTTTTTTTCTGTCTCAGGTGTTATATTCTAACCAATGACACGGTGCACTGTGAGAGGGAATTATACCATTCAAGCAAAGCCTGGAAGGACCACAAAGCTTATATTGACAAAGAGGTAATCTGACCACTGCTGGCTCTCCTGCTTCTATGTGTGTACAAGACAATAATTTAATGTTACATGAGATAATTATAGCAATTGAGAGAAGGGAAGTTTTTGTGATGTTCCCTGTGGCCAATCAGATTGTGGCAGCAGGTTATTCTAAGAATTTCTCCTTTATGTGATGTTATGTAGTTAAGATTTATAAATGCCCATCCTGGACTGGCCCTCGATTCTCACTCTCAGCTCTGCCCATCTGCCACAGACGTTACAGGAGATTGTCCATTTAGCGTTCACAACAGACCCAGTTTAAAGTGTACACATATTGATATGAATGCACTCTTCTGCATTTCAGATTGAAGCTCTACAAGACAAAATTAAGAATTTAAGAGAAGTAAGAGGACATCTAAAAAGAAGGAAACCAGATGAATGTGACTGCAGCAAGCCTGGGTGAGTGACACATACGATTTGGTTATATAACTGATTTCATTACCTCTGGTATAGAGTAGATATGTGAGGAGGACATAGAGGTGATGAATGGGAACATCCTTGAAATAATCAAACTGTGCATTTTACCTGCCATGACACTTTCCCCCAACTCATTCAGATGTTGCATTTGACACAAGTCACCTTTTAGTGAGGAAAATGGAGGTACTATTTACTGTACACCCAAAACAGCACAATTTCCTGTATGAGACTAACAGTATAAAGGTTTACAAATATACATAACAAAGTTTAGGACAAAAAGCCAAAAAAGGCAATAAATGATCACAAAAAAATTTACAAATCCATATAGCTCAACCAGTAGGAAAAACAAACAAATAAAAAAAGTCCATAAAAACAATCCTATACCCGCAGTTGATCCAGAAGTAGGCAAAAAAAGAAAACTATCAAAAAATCCTCACAACACTTTAAAACATCTAACCAAAATAAGCAATATTTTTAAGCAGACAAATTTTCATCCAGCAAAGTTGTATAGCTGTGTCCGATGTCCTTAGTTCTTTTGTGATTCTTCTCTAAGATGTTTCTTACTATGTTAAGTATTCACTAAGTATGTGGAAGGAATATGCAGTACTCTATAGCAGCCGATCAGATTTCAATTTACTGTAGTCAGACCAGTTAAAATGATTTCTGAATGGTTGCCATTGATTTACACAGTTGGTACTCAGATCAAGGGTTAGATCACTGACCCAATGGCCGGAATATCTTTATATATGTTTGATTATTTTTTGTTAAATGCTATTCACTTGTTTTCCAGCTTTTACAAGAAAGATAAAGGCGTGAAGGTTCAAGACAAGATAAAGAGCCATATTCATCCATTCAAGTAAATAGTTTATTCTACTTGTATAATTATGTAAATATTTTCCAAACACATTTCTTCTATTGAGGTATTACAGAAAAGTGTAATAATCAAAGGATCGGCAATGCTCTTTTTCAGCTTTCATTGTGCATCTAGGATTAGATTTATCTCTTAGTACATTTTTCTTTGTTTTATTGGGACTGCTAAATTTATGCTGAGGATCATATTCTAAGAATAGTAAACAAAATTCTAAAGCAAGTGGTTTGCCGAGGTCACCTCTGAACCTCAAGTGATCCATATAATAATAATATTAAACTTTGTTTTATATAGCGCCTTTGAAGGTAGCTTCTCAAAGCACTTTACAAAGAAAACACAAGAAATACATAGCATAAAACAAAGGAAAAAGGACAATTACATGAACCTTGTCTAAAAAAAAAAAAAAGTTTTAGATTTGATTTGAATGCGTTTAAAGAACATGAGACTCTGATGTTCTTTGTAAGTGAACTCCAGCATTTTGGAGCATAGCAGGAGAAGGCTCTGTCTCCCATCGAGTGTAGGTGAGTAAGGGGGACACACAGAAGACCAGAATTTGAGTAGCAGAGGTTATGGGGGGGATGGGGGGGTGAGTTGATAAAAGTTAAGAGAGATAATGGGGAGCCAAGCCATAAATAACCTTGTAAGTTAGCAAGAGGATCTTAAAGTCTAATGCAAACCTGACGGGTAGCCAGTACAAGGACTCCAGGATAGAGGTAATATGATCACTTGTACCAGACCTAGTAAGAATTCTGGCTGCAAAATCTTGTACATATTGTAGTCAGTTAATAGTGGATTTAGGTACACCAGCAAGTAGAGCATTACAGTAGTCAAGTTGGGAGAACACACATGTATGGATCAGCTTTTCTGCTACAGTTTATGGTAACATAGGATGCAGCTGAGCAATATTTGTCAAGTGGAAAAAAGATGTTCTGACAACATTTTGTACATGTGGATCAAAGGTTAAACTAGCATCAAATATCACCCCTAGATTTTTCAATTGAAGCTCAAGTACAGTGCCATCTATATTCAGGCTACCAGGACTGGCCTTACATAATTGATATGCTCCCAAATCCAAAGCTTCAATGCCTGTAGCTACCACAACATGACTTTATTTAATATGATGATGTCATCAAGTTCAGTGCAGTGAAATAACTGCATAGAAAAGGTGACATCATTGCACCAGCATTGTTCTTTCTGAAGGCCCCAGAAGTGAACAGAGTCTTTAATGCCAAGCCTTAGGGACAGTGTCCCTGACAGGTAACAAGGTCCACGTTGTTCGAGGCTTACAAGACACTAGGTCCAACCATCGTTCAAACATGACTCATCTTGTCGACCATACGTGATCCTAGACTGGTTACAGAGGAATGTCATATTAATCATTTTGATGATGAAGAAAAGCAGAAACAAAAATGGATCCCAAATAATTCATAACAAATCAATAGCTATATGTTTGTGCATATAATACAAGGATCTGGATCGTGAAATGAGGACCGGTTTTCCTTGATCAGGGGTGGTTCTGGGTATTTTTGGGAATGTACAGAAAGGTCCAAATTAGCTTAAACTTTCTCTTTAGTTCCATCATAGATCTTGTAAAAGTATCCCACAAAGCTCCTAATATTGTACTTGTGTATAGCTGAACTCCAGCCTTACCTTCAGTCTTGCACAGTTCAGTCTCCTTCCATGTACTGAAATTGCCTACTCTGGTTTCTTTTCATGCTGTGAGCTTCTCCCAGTATGCATTAAAAAATTCAGCAAGTCAAACAGAACCCACAGAATTTTTGATCTTGAGGATGTCCAACATTATCTAGCGATTTCCTCCCCATCCCTGGGAACTCTCACTGCCCTGCCCTTCTAACTAATTGGATTTTAGGTCTTTCAGTCATAGAGGTTTTGTATCACATCTGAACATTAGCTAAGTCCAGGGAAGGCAAAATATAAGCAGGTTTAACTTTAGTGTTAACATTTTATCAGGGTTTACAAAGTTGATGCACCAAATAGCTCTTCATGATGATTGGCATGCAACTAATCCTGTATTTTAATTGTTTTAGACTTTAGTCCCTGATTTTTGTTTTCAATCACTTTTCCACATAGGGAAGGTGCTCAGGAGGTTGACAACAAGTTGCAGATCTTTAAAGAGAACCGGAGAAGAAAGAAGGAGAAAAAGGAGAAGAAACGACATAAGAAAGGAGAAGAATGCAGTCTTCCTGGACTCACCTGCTTTACTCATGACAACAACCACTGGCAGACGGCACCATTCTGGAACTGTAAGAACATGTTCATGAATGCTCTAAAATTACATTTATCATCATGCTTAGAAAAGAACCAGGTGTAAATGTTCATTTAACTTGAAAAAACGTGAACAAGATGTCCACCAAAGCAGTTACAAAAAATTACCATGCGGTAAACCTTGACACTTTACGTATATAGAAATTGAATTTTATTTTTGGTTATAAATGCATAGAATTGCCAATGATTTAACAAAAGATAATATAACACCAATATCCATCACCTCACCCCAGACAACTTATTGTCTGTTCCACTAAAACCATTTAAAAATATTCATGATGTCACGTTATGGCCTTGCATGAATAAGAATAATTAGCCCTGCAGCGACAGCTGCTGGTCGTCTGTTGGGCTATGTCTTATCACCCTATGGGCTAGCTACATTGGAGTAGGAATAATAATCTAGCATGGACTATCATAATGACAAAAGGTTATCCGATTATAGCTGTGTTGATCCAATGATTCCTGGATAGATATCATGTGACATAAAGTCCAGATAATCCACTTCTGTGCTAATGTGGAGACAATTCTTAATAGGATATGATGGTATATCTAGTCCCACAGCATAAGTCACTGGATAAAATATGCAAGTATGTGGATAACAAGGCAGGCAGCTGTTGGAATGGGTTTGAATAAGCAGGTAAAGTTCTCAGCAAGAGAGTAACGGCAAAGGTTCATAAGCACAGAAATGATAGGTAAGCATAGGCAATTCAGCATAGGTTCCTTGTTTTTAAAGCAGTCAAGCCAAGATAAGCAGCTGTAAATGCTGACAGAGCGTGATTACTCACTGCCGAGCTGTATAGTCTAAATGCAAGTTCGCTCACCCTTTTATGCTTAAGACATTTAGTCCTTAGTAGGAGTGCCATATTGTAGAGATTGCCTGCAAAGCTCATCAATATATATCCTTACCAACCGTAGGATGTAGCTTACACCTCTATGCCGCTATACATGTTTCCAGTTGATTAACATGTAGTCCATGCCTGTTTACTTCTCCCATCAAGTATGTGGGATGCCCCAGTGGATCATGGCCATCTGTGATGTCACTGAAATGTGACGTCAACGTTTCACCGATGGGCGTATCTCAATCAGCTTTCCAACCGATCTTGTTCGCACAGGCTTACTTAAGCATACTCCTATGTGAGGCCGTGTTTACCCACACAGATGTTCCTGTGCATTGGCGTGCAGGCTGTCCCATTCATATCAATTGGGAAATAGCAGCTGCTCCCTATTTGCCATCAATATGGGTGCAAACATGACCGTCACACGTGTATGCTTATGTATGCCCATGTGAACAAGGCCTAGTTGGCTGCTATAGGCAATGCCTTCACCATCCTCCATTTTTTATATAAATAATATTCTATTTCTATCAGTTTTTTCAGCTAAGTGTTAAAACACAAGGGATATATACACTGGGGACATGTATGTTTTGTGAGTAACAGTGATAATTTTAAACAATGCACCTAACTAAAGACAATCAATCCATGGAGGACATTCATGTGGGTATATAGGATGTATTCTCTGATACTAGTCCAACCCCAAAAGGACCACTGAGTCCTGGTAGTGGGTTTCTTTTCCTTTAAATTGTAAATCTTTGATGACTTCAACATGCTGTCCTGATTACTTTTTTCAGTTTCCTAAAGTAGAACTATATCTGCTTTAATTTTTTTTTTTTTATAACAAATGTTGCTTCTGCAATAAAGGCATCTTACCTTCCTATTTCCCTTTTTCTTCTGCTGGTTGTCTGGGATGAATGAAATCCTGTATGTACTCAGGAGTTACGTCATCCTTGGCCAGCCAATCAAGACGATGGAATTACAGCAGATCTGAAAAGCATCTCTGATACACAATAAACACATTAAATAAACATTAAACAATTGAAATACATCAATATCTAAAGTGTATCATAGGCAAAATGATGTTCTTAGTTTTGGATAGAGCAGGGGAAGATTAGAACCCCTGTAAGGTTTTACTACTGTTGAAAGCTCCATTTAGAAAGATTCCTTCACTTCCTGTTAAGTAAAAAAAAAGTTGTCCCCCAGGACAGGAAGTGAGGGGAAATCTCACTAACAGAACCCCAGAAAGACATTAAACTCCCCATTCTATCTACAACTTAAAAAAAGTTTGGGTTGTAGATCCATTTTAATAAAGTCTGTATAAAGTTCTAGCTACAAAGTTCAGCTTTCTGTTACACAGTTCATGTGACTTGTTGCTTAAACCCTTCTTTAATTAAACACAGCACAACTGCTGGGATTAAAATGTCTTGTGACAAACCTTTCCAGAAATCAGGTTGTACAGAGTGTGTGTACTTTACATGGACTTAATTAAAGAAATGAGGGAAATGAAGTCTGTGCTAAATGTATTGCCAAAGTAAATATGACTTGGATAATCAGAGTAAAAATATTTCTGCACTTAACTAACAGGAGTGTGTACATGTGCATGTGTTTTACATATATATAAATATTTTTTTTTTTTTATAATGGATAGCTGGATCGGATGAAAACCTTACATCCATATTCATAATCTAGTGCTGCAGTCAGTATGGGAAATACAAGTATATGCTGTATAAGTAAAAGCCACTCCAGAACAACATTAACAGTTTAAAGGGAAGTTGCACTAAGTGAAATGCAGAGGATGTCATTGTTCGCCTCCTGAAAATTCTGATTGCCCAGCCCCAACTGACTCTGTCTACAGTATTATCTGAGTCACTGACACATGTCCGTATTCTTGATTTTTACACCAGGACCAGATCAATCATCTGGAAAGTACTGAGCCAGTGAGGTTGATTTACTAAAGGCAAATTGACTGTTCACTTTCTAAGTGAATTTTCCACAGAGATTAATGAATGAGGTGAAACTCTGTTGTTTATTTTCCTTGCACATGAATGGGTATTCCATGTAAAGTGAGATTTCACCACTAAGGGAAATATTCCTATGCAAAGTGCAACTTCCCTTGCAAAGAGAACAGCCTTTGTGCCTTTAGTAAATCAACCCCAATGAATTAGCACGGCTAGCTTTTTCACAAGCATTGCAGCCTCTTTGTTTCTTTCAGGACATGTTTCCTTTAACAATGGCTGTAATTCAGCCTGTAAGGCCTCATACAAAAAGTTTAAAACAAACCCCAGCCCATCAATAACATGTCACAGCCACTTTCATAAAATCATTTATTGATACATACTTTCTTGGGATTGTAGGCCCCACTAAACTCGATAGTACAATAAACAATTGTGAAATGCTGTAAGTTACACTGTAAAAGAAGACACAATGCAGGAGTGTGGCAATATTATGGCTGCCGCCCTTTGTTGGAGTTTAAATCTTTCTTTAAAACCTCACCATAATGTTTTTAAACAAATCATAAACCAAAAATATAACCAATTCCCAGATCCATGCTTAGTTACACCAGACCATATATATAAGAACTGATGTGCACTATACACCCAAAAATGTGAGAAACAATACCCCTCCATATTCCCTCTCCTCAATGTATGGGGAGGGAGGGAAAGGTTTCCTGACTTGATTGATAGAATTGTTAAGAGTCTGACTTATGTAAAGGTAAGAGATGCACTTGATTGGGTGTCAGTTTTTTCAGTGTAAACGTCAGTGGCCACACAGCCATCTGCAATCAGGACAGAAAGGTGGAGTTCTTATGCCCCAGCAATAGCTGTCAGGCAATCCTGAAACTGCTAAGAGGCAACACCACAACTAAGCACACATACCAACAGTACACATTATGAGGGAGGTTACCCTTAGTTCAATATAAAAGCATGCACTAATTGAAGAAGTACCAGACCAAAAGATAGAAAAGTCCAGAAGCCCCCCCCCCCCCCCCCCAATACACATTGGATTTTTTTAGTATGCACGTATAAATGTATTTGGACTCTTTTATGCTTTGGTCTGGCACTCATTCCATTAGTGCATGCTTTTTTTTGTGGTAGCCTGCTGGGGTACCCACTGGAGATCAGCCTTGTCAGTTGCGAGCAGCCTAACCTGAGCCAATGAGCTCTGTGAAGTTTTTTTATCCTCTCACTACTTTGTATGAACTCAGTGCTTCTTGGTTGCTTTTCTCTTCATTGAACCCCTTAGTACAATAACATGGTGGGTGTGGGTGCCACAATCCCATGGGGACATTTCTTTAAATCCTGCCTCACACAGAAATGAAACACAAAGCCAAATCAGATCAAAGACTCCCTGGTATGATCCTCTCACTGATCTGTTTGAGGAGGAAAGGAAATAGATGTAAAAGGCAAAGTCCACCATTACTAGATTACAGCTTCCTATGCCCCTAAGGGTCATGTGAGGCCCCAAAATGCAAGTCTATGTTTTTCCTGGACATGTTTGTCCTGTAAAGTCTGTTCAGGTTGTAATTTTCAAGTTCTGATACTTATGAATGTTGCAATTATGTTGCTGATCCTATTGACTGATGTATGTTTTGCATGATGACCATATCACAGCATATGGCTTATACATGCACATGTGTCTTATTAGTGAAATCTATTAAAATATTCACTTTTTATTGTAATTGATAGATAGAAAATATTAAAATACAATCTGCTTGTCCTCTTTCTTTACAGTGGGGTCTTTCTGTGCCTGTACTAGTTCCAATAATAACACATACTGGTGTTTGAGAACAGTCAACGAGACCCACAATTTTCTGTTTTGTGAATTTGCCACGGGTTTCTTGGAGTACTTTGATATGAACCTCGATCCCTACCAGGTAAACACACAAATGTTTTTATTTAGAGACAGTTTGCAGTTATCTTTAGGAGGTCCAGCTATGACCCAATAAAACCAAATCGTGGAACTGATTCAAGCAGCAATCAGTAATTATGAAAACTTGATTGTTCACTTCCCCAGTAGCCCCTCGAGAATGTGCTATGCATACTTATATTGGTCTAAGCTGAAGGTATGAAAGTATGAAATAATGGAGTTGAGCTTTCAGGGGTCACCTACAAGCAGAAAGCGCTAGACAGCCAGACAGATTGTGATAAGGACTTTCAGAAGATGGGAGAAGCTCAGGAGAAGCTCTAGAGAAGTCCTGAATGCGAGCATGGAGGGAGGTGAAAAGGGAGCAAGAGCAGGGGTTCTTGGGAGGAGTAGAGCGCACAGTCTGAGATAAGGTTGGTAATGTTACTGGGGGCAGAGTTATGGATGACTTTATATGCTGTTGGGCTAGCAGGAGCCAATGGAGGGATTGGCAGAGAGAAACTGAGTGGTTAAGTAAGGTGGATGGTCTGGAAGCAGCATTCATGATAGACTGAAGGGAGGATAGCCTCTGTGTAATGCTAGGCCAATGAGAAGAGTGTTGTAAAAGTCAAAGAGTGAATTAGTATTATTATTAAACATGACTTATATAGACAGTTTGTACAGCTTGCTCATCAGTTTCAGCCCTTTGAACCATCACTAACAATGTATTCATGTGCATTGCTGTTTTTCCTACAGCTCACACAAATGCTGTACATACTGTGGAGAGAGGAGTTTTGAATCAGCTTCATGTACAGCTGATGGAGCTAAGAAGCTGTCAGGGTCACCGGCAGTGCAATCCAAGGCCAAAAGGGTTAGAAACAGGTAATTTTCAGTACATTTTCAGTAGATTCCATGATTAGCACATACGTCTTTTTGAAGACAGCCTAAATAAGTGTAAAACCATCCTATTTATTTACAGCAGTTGAATTATAAAAATGCCTAAATGCTAAAAATTAAAATTGCTGAATAATAACTTGCTGGCCTGATCAGTTCTTTCTTACAGGTTTAATAATAACAGGTTGACACAAACAGCAAAGCTTATTTACAGCATTGGCTTCAGAGCTAACAACTACTAGACTGACTGTAGCCAGGGGCTGCTAACTAACCTGCTTACCCCTCACACAGCCCGTATGCCTTCTAATATCAGCTGTACCTAGTAAAAGAGAGTTTACAGGTCACTAATTTTATGTTTGCAGGTATTGCATATGTTTAGCCAATTGAAAATGAGACCAATAAGTATCTTGAATGACACCATTTTATTTTGTTTCTATATTCAACGAGTTACGAAAGCCGAAGTGTCAAAGCCATTTACAAATATATAGCATTGCTTTCATACAGTGGTGGTGCCTATATTGTGGTAAATCCTAGCATGCTTGCTCTCTCTAGTCAAGTTAGGTCTTAGAATACCAATGGTTCCCAATGGGCAAATCCACCAAATGTAGTTAAAAACAGTTTAAAGCAGTCCTATACTTTGAGCCACTGCTGAGGAGCATCATCTGGGTAACATCAGGAAAACCAGATGGTGATACCTGGTAAAAATTCCAACTCCCCAGTAGGGCCAGTCAGCAGCTTTGATTGTCTCACAGAGCTAGCTTAGGCCAGGACTATGGCCACAATCATTATGCTATCATTATATGATCCCTCTTATATCAAAGTTTTTAAAGCCTGAACTGTCTGTGTTGCCCTGTAGTAACAAATTTGTTTGCAAATGAAAGCTCAGTCTGATTAACTGCTATGGAGCAACACAGTTTTTATTTAGAAAATATAGTAAATAAGCCCATTGCATATTATGAAGCACAGAAATAAAGGTCAAGTTCACCCACAAGTGATGTTATAGGTGGAGCATAATGGGCTGAGCCAGCCCATGCATTTTTTTTTTGGTTTAATAGATTTTTATTGAAATTTTACAAAAACAGTTCAGAACATAACCAAATTGCATGACATGCAACAGGAGGGGCTACAATGCCATATCCCAGTATGCCACAGGTGTCAAATGAATGTCCCTCCAGCTGTTGCCAAACTACAAGTCCCATGAAGCATTGCATGACTGACAGTTACAAGCATGACTCCAAAAGGCAGAGGCATTATGGCACTTGTAGTTTCACAACAGCTTGAGGGCCACCAGTTTGACCCCTGCAGTACCCAGTGTTCAAGAAAAGAAGCACACAAGATTTGCCCATGTCTTTTTTAATGCCTTGGAAGAATGATATCCTTACCTAATTCTTGACTCTGTTCCTGTCCACCTGGGAGTTTGGGTGTTCACCCCCCCCCCCCCCCCCCACTTCCCACCTTTGCCTGCCCCATCAGTTCTTTGCTCAATCTCCATTATATAGATCAATGAAAAATCCAGCAGCAGGGAAAGTGGGAACCACAAATATTGGTTGCAGCAGGCTCACCTAGGAGCTCCAGCACAGGCATCTCACCAATATTCTTCCAAGAAATAATAGAATCTATCTGGATTAGCTCTCTAGCATCTATCAGTCTTGGGTGGACTGTCCCATTTACTTGATAGCAAATATTATATTAGCTGCTGAGTTAAATAATTTCAATGATAGGTACACCTTAACCATCTTTTAAGAAGAGTTGGCAATCTAGTATTTGGTGAATGATTTCTCTTCTAGAAGTTAACAACCATTACTCTTGTATTTTCCTATATCAGGAAGTAAAGATGGACGAAACCTATGATCCACACAGGTATATGTCCTTTTTCTTATTTATCCTGTCCAGCGGCTTCTTCCGAATAATTGCATGATCCAGCCCATTCCAACTAATGTGTGTATTCTGTCATGTGGCCCATGGCATAGCGTTTGGTGCATGCAACTTCTAACTATGGCTCCCTCGTATTGGTCAGTGGTCTCTGGCTACCATGATTCACTTCATCTCATCTTCACAGCAAGAGCTCATATATGTCATTTCATGCTTGCGACTTGTGATTTTTCAACATCCAATTCACATAATGTTTAGGTTGATGCGCCACTGATAAGAAAGCCTGTGCATTGTGTTTTCTCTGTGTGTACACTATTATTTTGCATCTCCATATAATGATATTTTATAATGCTGTATATGTATATTACCATTGTATGCTTTGCAAATGCATGAAACAATGTATAGAAGTATAAAATAGTATTTTAGAGTAAGCAGTGGGTTTTCCAACCTTTCATGTATTTGACAGTTGCACTTTTTAGGTTGGACCATGAAAACAAGAATTGTCACTGTCACTCTATTGCCATATTTTCACCCTGTTTATGACATGCCCCCATATAGATAAAACAATTGTAAGTATGTGCTTCAGCTATAAATTTAGAGGGTAGGCTAGTTTCCCTTTAAAAACAACCTATCGCAGTAGGACATATGCCAAGTTTTAGATAACTTTGTGCAGGTTTATTTATGAGATATATTTATTGATATACAATATATACAACTTTTTTGAGAGTCAGGAGTTCAGGGGTCATCTGAAGTCTGACACTTGCAACCTGCCAAACTTTGACCTCTCACACTGTCACCCAGCTACACAGAGTGCACATCAGTGTCAAATAACAGAGCCCTGTAGTTGTTTATACTCCTATATTCCTCTAAATTACAAGACTTTGTTATTTTACATTGTTATGCACTCTCAGGAGTTGGGAGACAGTGTGCAAGGGCAGGCAGATGACAGGGCAGCAACACACAGAGCTAAATATGGAGATGTAATGAAATATTTTAAACACAAGCCTGCATAAAATAATAAAAGTATTAAATAAAGCCTGATTATTAAAATTCTTGCAGAATCTTAGATGTGACTGGTGCTCTTTAAGTTAGGCAACCATAGGTTGACATTTATAGCAGAAGATCCGGAAACTGCCCTTCTGTAAAATAATACTGAGCTATTGATTTAGCCAGAAGCTTTATTCCTTCTGAATGCAGAAAGATTTACCAGTTGTACTCCTCTGATGTTCTCATTGGCCCCGATTTCATCAAGCTGCAATTGCACTTAGGGCTTGCCAAAGAGCATGTTATTATGACATGCAATAAAAACTGACTGAGAGGCAAATTTAGGATGCCTTAAGTGCTCTTTAAGATGTCTTAAGTTTGATGAATTGGAGCCATTGCTGCCCTTTCCTCAATTTCTACATCACTTTATTGCTATCAGCAACATTTAGTGGCATCTCTTGCAATGGCATTAGAAGATTTTATTTGTTTGCTTTTAACAAAAATTATTATTATTATACAGTATTTATAAAGCGCCAATAGTTTGCTCAGCGCTGTACATTACCATTCTCTGTTTATTCTTGCATGTTGCATAAAAGATTGAGGGGGAAAATCAGCTATTTAATGACCAAATGGTAGCTTAGATCCATTAGGGTTGATTTACTAGAGGCAAATAACTCTGCAAGTGCAGTTGCTCCAGAGCTTAGCAAATGAGGTAAAGCTTCATTTTACAAAGAATATCCAATCAAATGCAAGTAAAATAAAAAATATGTTAAAAAAAAGCATTTTTGTGTGCACATGATTTGATGATGGAAATCAGCAGAGTTTCATCCCATTTACTAAACACTGGAGCAACTTCACTTGCAGAGTGCAGCTGTACTTGCAAAGTACACAGTCCATGGAGTTGAGTTACTAAAGGCAGATAGACTGTGCACTTTGGAAAGCGCAGTTTCTCCATAGCTTAGTAAATGAGCTTCCATCATCCAATCATGCACAGGCAAAAATACAGTTTTTTATTTATTTTCCTTGCATGTAATTGGGTATTCTTTGCAAAGTTAAGCTTTACCTCATTTACTAAGCTCTGGAGCAACTGTGCCTGCAGAGTGCAACTGCTCTTTGCAAAGTGTACAGTTTATTTGCCTTTAGTAAATCAACCACATTGTGTATGGCCAATATTAGCCTAAGCTAATGGCGGACCCAGGAGAGGACTGACAACTCATGGGGCCCCCGGGCAATTGGGGATCATGGGGCCCCTGTGTCCTTGCCCACACTCACAGCATACCCAAAAAAGCCTATAAAAAGGTACCAGGGGCATTTCATGGGGCCCCCTACTGACCCTGGGCCCTTGGGCAGTGCTCGAGTGCTCTAATAGTCAGTCCGCCCCTGGGCGGACCTTATGTGCTAAACAGTTTATTGTGACATCTTTAAAAAAACATGCATGCTGGTAGCTTTAAAGAGAGTATGCTAATGTGTATAGAGAAGAGGAGTAGAAGAGCAGCCAAGCATCCCAAAAATCAAGGGCATGAATACCATTTGTGCATACTGTGTGGCTGCACAAAGGGCCCTTTGAGACTTAGGGTGTCCATATATACTAGATATGGTCAGATGGTTGCTAGGTCCCCTCTCACTGTCTTATAGACCTGCACACAGCTGACTTCTGTCTAGCTATCAGTCTGTACACAGTTGACTCGTGATTTTACTTGACCAGTAGTTCAACTGGGGAACCAAAAATTGGTTTTGCACTGAGGCTCCTTGGTGACTATCTACCACTGCCCAGAAGTGACCATAAATACAAGAAAAGTGTGTCAGCCACCAGAATGTGGTTCATCTAAAGTTACCAATAGAGATGAAAGTCTTCTCCCAATGCAGTGAGATCAGAGGGCAGTATACCTTAAACCAGTGTGATCAGGGACAGTAGATCTCAATCCAGCAAGATTGGGGGACAGTAGATCTATGAGGCCTATTTTATTTTAAAACACAAATGCAGTTTTATGAAGGTTTTCATGTAATCTTCTTTTGCCAGGAGAATCATTCATGTTGGGGAGCACAGTATGTAATGATCATCTGCCTTTGTCTTATGACAGTGCTCGTTTTTCTCTCTGGCTCTTTAAAGATGTTTGTGCTGATAGCCAGGGAATTTAGTTTTAGATGAGATACTTGCATAACATCCATTATGAGTTTGCTCCAGGCTACATTTTTTAAAGCTCTGTACTTCCAGTATCTGCTTTGAGAAAATCTGTTTGTCTGAAGTTTGACACTTTGATAGGAAAATCACAAAACATCTGCGTGGAAAGCAGCATTATTGTGGTTATGACGCACTGTAGAAGTTTGCCCTGTACGTAGACAACATTTTTTACATTGTATGCATTCCGCCTGCCACTTAAGTTTAGTACAATTTTACTTACTCAGAGGACCTTAGACTGACTGAGCTGCCTTCCTTTGTTTTCGTTATTAAATTAATAAAAAAAGATTTAGGCCAGAACTGCAGCCATATAAACACACACATAAAATATACGGTATACCTGTGATCTGTTTACCTGCCTAAGTATCTTACATTTTCTGTGAAGCCACACTTAGAATTTACACACCCCTGCCATACTATGTAATAAGAAGTGGACACCACTATTTAATATCTACAGCTAAGCAGCTTCCTGGGTCACCCACAATCACTGGACAAGGAATCACTGTATTGATGAGGTCCTGTGCTCTTCCCAACCATACAGGTGAAACTCGAAAAGTTAGAATATCGTGCAAAAGTTCATTTATTTCAGTAATGCAACTTAAAAGGTGAAACTAATATATGAGATAGACTCATTACATGCAAAGCAAGATAGTTCAAGCCGTGATTTGTCATAATTGTGATGATTATGGCTTACGGCTCATGAAAACCCCAAATCCACAATCTCAGAAAATTAGAATATTGTGAAAAGGTGCAATATTCTAGGCTCAAAGTGTCCCACTCTAATCAGCTAATTAAGCCATAACACCTGCAAAGGGTTCCTGAGCCTTTAAATGGTGTCTCAGTCTGGTTCAGTAGGAATCACAATCATGGGAAAGACTGCTGACCTGACAGTTGTGCAGAAAACTATCATTAGAAAATATAAGTTAGTGAGCGCAATCCGACAAGCGACCAATGCACTAAAAGGAACCACAAAACCTTTCTAATAAGCTCAAAATTACAAGGAGTGCAGCGCTACATAAAATTAAATGGCAGAGAAAAATAAATAAAATACAGTAAAATAATATTAAAATAAGTCCACTGTAATATCAATATATGGATTCCTCAGTCCACAGTGAAATTTCAGACGTTGTAGGTGCAATCCGGTCTCCCGTTGTGATAATATAAATAGATTGCCTACTCACCAGAAACCCAGTAAAAAAACGCATATCTGTATCACATGCATCCTAGATCTTGAATAAAGACAGCCCGGAAATGGAATCCTCTGATGGTCCCTCAGTGGTGTAACAAAAGGATACCGATCTGGTCTCCAAGTATTTACTTCATCAAGTCTGCAGCGATGCTAAATCACTGGGGCTGAGACATGGAGGCTTAGTGCCAGATATGGAGAATAAAGGTGCTCATGGTGTAGTATTTAAAACTGTAAATTTATTGCGTTAAAATCTGAGCAGAGATACATACATAAATGACTGTATATAGTATGAAACTGCTATGAAACTGCTATGAGCAGTAAAAGCACCCAAAAGCACTGACCAGTATACATCTAATGTGGGCCGCCGGACTTCCTGATCCGGCGGCGTAGCGTCAAAGCATGCAGGGGCTCCTCCTAGACGCGTTTCGTGTAAACACACATCTGCAGTAGGGGTGATGCCATCACCACTGAGGGACCATCAGAGGATTCCATTTCCGGGCTGTCTTTATTCAAGATCCTAGGATGCATGTGATACAGATATGCGTTTTTTTTTACTGGGTTTCTGGTGAGTAGGCAATCTATTTATATTATCACAACGGGAGAGGCCGGATTGCACCTACAACGTCTGAAATTTCACTGTGGACTGAGGAATCCATATATTGATATTACAATGGACTTATTTTAATATTATTTTACTGCATTTTATTTATTTTTCTCTGCCATTTAATTTTATGTAGCGCTGCACTCCTTGTATTTTTGAGAAAACTATCATTGACACCCTCCATAAGGAGGGAAAGCCTCAAAAGGTAATTGCAAAAGAAGTTGGATGTTCCCACAGTGCTGTATCAAAGCACATTAGTAGAAAGTTATGTGGAAGGGAAAAGTGTGGAAGAAAAAAGATGCACAAGCAGCAGGGATGACCACAGCCTGGAGAGGATTGTCAGAAAAAGGCCATTCAAAAGTGTTGGGGGCTTTCACAAGGAGTGGACTGAGGCTGGAGTCAGTGCATCAAGAGCCACCACACACAGACGGATCCTGGACATGGGCTTCAAATGTCGTATTCCTCTCGTCAAGCTGCTGCTGAACAACAAACAACATCAAAGGCGTCTTACCTGGGCTAAAGAAAAACAGACCTGGTCTGTTGCTCAGTGGTCCAAAGTCCTCTTTTTCCGTTGAGAGCAACTTTTGCATCTCATTTGGAAACCAAGGACCCAGAGTATGGAGGAAGAATGGAGAGGCACACATTGCAAGATGCTTGAAGTCCAGTGTGAAGTTTCCACAGTCTGTGTTGATTGGGGAGCCATGTCATCTGCTGGTGTTGGTCCACTGTGCTTCATTAAGTCCAGGGTCAACGCAGCCGTCTACCAGGAGATTTTGGAGCACTTCATGCTTCCTTACACAGACGAGCTTTATGGAGATGCTGACTTCATTTTCTAGCAGGACTTGGCACCTGCCCACACTGCCAAAAGCACCAAAACCTGGTTCAATGACAGTGGGATTACTGTGCTTGATTGGCCAGCAAACTTGCCTGACCTGAACCCCATAGAGAATCTATGGGGCATTGCCAAGAGAAAGATGAGAGACATGAGACTGAACAATGCATAAGATCTGAAGGCCGCTATTGAAGCATCCTGGTCTTCCATAACACCTCAGCAGTGCCACAGGCTGATAGCTTCCATGCCACGGCGCATTGAGGCAGTAATTGCTGCAAAAGGGGCCCAAACCAAGTACTGAGTACATATGCATGCTTATACTTTTCAGAGATCCAATAATGTTCTATGTACAATCCTTGTTTTATTGATTGCATGTAATATTCTAATTTTCTGTGATTGTGGATTTGGGGTTTTCATGAGCTGTAAGCCATAATCATCACAATTATGACAAATCACGGCTTGAACTATCTTGCTTTGCATGTAGTGAGTCTATCTCATATATTAGTTTTACCATTTAAGTTGCATTACTGAAATAAATGAACTTTTCAACGATATTCTAATTTTTCGAGTTTCACCTGTAAGCTGCCTGGACAGTTTTGTGCAATCCAGTAGAGCCTGCCAGGCTGCGTACCTTCCTTTTCTGATTTGTTGTGTGTAGGAGATCATGGGAATTCCGTATTTCAACACAGGTTAAGTACTGGTACATTATTAAGAAAGAACCGACAGCTTGAATTTACATAGTCCTAATTCTTTGTTTTTCTGGTGGCGGAATGAGGTGGTGAGGATGTGAGTGGATGATGAGGTGGAGATACCATTAAAGTCAGCCTGTAGCTTTGCCCTGCCTGGACAAATCATTTATTCACTTTAAGCAGCATTTGGGTAAAAATTGCATATTCCAATTGCAATAATTGTGTATTACTTTTTTTGTTTTTTGTTGTTTTTGCTGAGATGGATTTCCGGTGTTTGTAATTTATTTAAATATAGTGTAAATATTCATTCTGTTTACTGAGTGGAAAATAATTGACACAAAACACACTTTAACCTCAATTTTTTTGATGTTATTCCTCAATTTAACATGTTTCCATTTTAATTAGAATTTTAAATATTCAGCGTGTGAAAAAAAGTTCAAGATTGAATTAGAGCCAGAACTAAATGACCTATACCATCTGTATTTTTACAGGGGACAACTATGGGATGGATGGGAAGGTTAACCTACCCAATTTCACAGAGGATGTTGACTGGAAAGGACTGGAAGATCTGTACAGCGTTAATGAAAGCTTGTATGGCTACAGAAACAAGTATAGACTTAGTCCTGATGATTGGGCTAATTACTTGAAGGATGTAGATAGAGTTTTTGCACTGCTGAACAATATCCCTAAACAATTTACATCAAATTCAACTGTGGTTGTACGAACTTACGTGTCCTCCAATGCGTCGGCTCTGGTGGAAATGTCCTCTGCTGACTCTGAAGATGAATTTAGCGGTGTAGCTGCGGAAGAAAGGGAACCTAAAATGGAAGTTAATTTGAGCACAGTGATATTTAATCACAAGAAAAAACTTGAAAACAATCTCCCCAAGGAGAAACAAAGGAACCAGGCACACTGGAGCGATCGCAAAACTGAAAGACAGAGAGATCAAGTTTCTTTAGACAACTATGATGTGGACTTCAGTGGAAATGGACTCACAGAGTTAGAATCTAAAATGAATTTAGACAAGCAGACTGTCAGTCATACCCCTAGAGAAATTCAGCAACTTCATCTTGTAAGTGAAGATATATTTCAAGACCAGGTGTATCTTCCTATTGACTCCATTGCTCCCCAGGTAAAAAATATATCCACTGTGGATCATCTAGATGATTCCGAAGACCAAGAGAGTACAAATGCCCAACCAACAAAAGATTTTTCTGGAGAAACAAATACAAACTTAGATATGGAAGGCAGTGCCTCGTTCCCTCTTTCTTCTGATTAGAACAATGTACTTTAACAAAAGCTAAATTTAACCAGTGACTGTGGCACTTGACATTCCAGTGCATCCAGCAGCTTTTTGCTTTTCACAATATGGACAACGGAGTCTTCAAACATTACTCCAATAAGATACTTGATAATTAATATTAATACTTCATAAAATTTGACGCTGTCACACAGTTTTATTTTTTTCACTATTTGGGCTCATATGTGTCAAATGTTTAAACACCACAGATAATTATATCCCCACTAAATATATATTTTATTTTCTAACCACTGGAATTAGTAAACTAATTTTGCACTTTTATAAAGCTTTTAAGCTTGACCACCATGTTTTTTTCCCTCTTTACTTTTGTTTCTAAACATATTATTGTGACCAGAAAAAAAAATTGCAGAAAGGTGCTTTTTACAATTTTGTTTTATAAATTCTAAATCGCATAATGAATGCTTTATTGGAAATCAGTGTTGTCCCATTGATTTGTTAGGAGATTATGGTGACAGATAAGGCAAATCTGGAAAAAAAATCACCTTGTGTGTGGTGCAAGGATAATCTATCTGATCAATATTTTGTCAGAGGTAATTGGACAGTGTTAGGTGACTTTATCCATCTAAGTATTATCGTTGTACAACCAATTCTCCAACCACCTACTAAACCCAGGCACTTACTGTGGTGTCTGATAGCTGCATTTGTCAGACGTGGATAAGTACATTGATAACAAAATCTGGTAAAAATATGGTAGAACAATAGTTGACAGATCTGCTGGTGAGAGGGAATCTAAGAAATCAGTGACTTACAAGGGGTATTACTCCATTTATAAAGAAAGTAATAATTTGGAAGTGCAATCCAGAGAAAATGAGTTGCTTTCCCAAAAAGGTTAACTTGTATCATATTAAATGTGATTTTATCCCATAATTGTGAATCACTGGTTTATTTCTCCCGTTCTGTGATTGGCATGCTAGAGAAATCTGGAGAACATTAATCCAGCTTTGTTCTGGTGATATGTATTCTTATTTCCTCTTCTAACATACCTACTGATTTATGCACAATGTGAAAAGAACTTCCCATTTTAATGGAAGTTTACCATTTGCTTCTTATTCCACAGTCTGGTAACATGGAAGTTTCCAAGTTTTGCCAGTTCCAGGAGCTTTAAAGGTGCACTTACATTTACTGGGCTCTTTTGCCCATGTTCAACAGCCCTCAATAGCCAATAGCCAGCAACCTGTCCCTTCTCTGCTAGGGATGAGCAAAGAAAAGACTTCCATTGCAATGATTATAGATTGTGGTACACATATATGGAAAAAACTTGTCCTTGATATTAAGATTTTAAAGAAGAGGCTGTGCAGAACCAAGTAAGTGGAGCAGGAACAGATAAGTATATGACTTTAAAGGGCTGTTGTGGATTTGCATCAAAGCCTAAGAAGGGTTTGTGCACTTTAAGTCTATTTACACTTGAATTCCATTTTCACCTTGGTAGCTGCAACACTAATGTAGAATAAATGCATTATTCCACATGGGGGGGGGGGGGGGGTTTACTAAACAAAAAGGTCCAGCTAGAGGCATCAAAAACAGCAAAGATGGCACATATACTCTATACATAAACATGGTCATTACAAGTATACTATTGAAGTTGTTACATCCATATTTACAAATTACCTCAATGTTTTTACATATCCAGGTACGAATACGTTTTTTTCTTCCTTTTTGTCAAGATATTTCTTATCCATGTCAGCAATGCAGATCAGCACTACGTTTGTTCCATGGGATTTTGAATGTTTCTCTTTTCCGAGCAGTCCCGATGTGGTCTATGTACATATACTGAAAACTGTTGCTATACACATCACGTTATGTGATGACATTGACAAACATATTTATGGTTATGAAAGTACTCTTTTTTTTTTTTTGTAAATAGATTTCAGATTAATAGGCTTTGTTCTGTGTTTTTTTTAATCATGTTATACTTTTATAGAACAATTCGGACTTCAGGAAAGTCACGAAGCAACATTTCTTGAAATAAAAATGTGCTTTACTTTTACAATTCTGAACGTTTATTGAAGTGGCCTTTTACTTTTGTGTTTATGATTGATACATGCATATGCTTCTAAATATTCTATCTACCTATATATTTATCAATTTAATTTAAGCTAATTCACATTAATACTTGATAAGACAAGATAAAAATAATAATAAATAGGCGAGCTTATGCTTAAAGCCCAAATGTAGTTTCAAGTTAAACTTCTGTCTGCTGGATAAAGACCGCTGATATTGTCCTGATCTTTAGCCTACTGCAAGGGAACTGAATTTTAGGCAGGTTCTTAATTCTATCTTCGGTGGTCTGACACTGTTCAGCAAATGTAAGTGTTGCTGATTAGAGGACTAACTGTATATGACAAGGCAGAAGGTGTATTGTGCAGCGAAAGCTAGACTGCTGCATTTACAGGTTGCCTGCTGCAGAAGAACTAAATTTAGGGCTGGCACTGGAACTCAAGCGAATGACAAACGGAAATAAAATCCTTAAAAATGCATTGCTCTCTGTTCACTAAAGGACACAGCTGGAACTTTAGATCTTGATTGATGGGCACAACCTGCAAGAGTAGGATGCTAGGTACAAACAAAAGAGCAGCCCTGGGATGGCCTTGCTTTAGCCAAACTCCCAATCTGCAACACACAACCTAATTTTTTATGAGTTGGGACCTAGATTTTTGCTGGTCTTTTATGGCCAGCTTTTTTTTTTTTTTTCTTTTGATGTATTATTGTTCTTTAATCAACAGCTGTGGTGGGTGAAAGGGTGGATTTTATAGATCTACTACGAGAGCCTACAAGGCATGCAGTTCCCTGCCACAGCTGGACCAGCTGCAATGGCTTTGCATCGGCAGAGTGGCCCATAAGGTTTTCAGTTCTTTTGATAGTGCATATGATACATATGTTTAGAGGCATTTTAACCATCCTCTGGAGGTAAATCTACCTTTTCAAGTATGTGTAGACATCAAGAGGGGGTTTAAAAGACCTTGGGGATCCATCGGAATACAAACCCCAGCATGCCTGGCTGGAGAACTACCTAAACAACCCCAGGAGGATTGGGTGCACTGGCTGCCTAGGAGACTTCTTGCCTTGTTAGATGTCCACTTCATTGTGCTGCAGGTATGGGTGATGGCCTCTTTCTGACTCCATACAGGCAGCTTCCCTGTGTGGCTGCAACATCAGCCATTTTCTTTTGGGCTTCTCCTTCTCTGCAGCACACCTACCCTGGTGCCTGTCAGAATAGAAGGTTGTTTGGGTGCATGTGGTGGGGGGCTTTCTGCACACAGCAGTGTCCAGTGAACCCTGCTCTACAGGCCACATAGTAGCTACTCCCACAGCCTTCCTGATATGGCCACCATCTTTGGGGTTGAGCCCTGCCCTTCTCCTGGGGATCAGACAGGTGGTGGTGGTGGAAAGTTCAGTTTTAGCCCCCTGAGCATCATGCTGTAACAGTCAGAAGCCGGGGAATTATGGCCCCTCCAGCTGGTGGCACTACTGCACTGCCATCTTTGTTTTAAACATCTGCCTCTACTGCTAGGTATTCCCGCCAGGAAACACAGGAGCCTGGATACTGGCAGTAGGCAGTTCTTTCTGGCTAAAGCATGCAGTGAACACAGCCCAGATCCACAGATCCTTTGCACATATTGAGGGATGCAACTGCTGTGTGTTTTAAGTTTTTCCAGTTGGGGGCATCACCCTACCTGCATCACGGTTGTGGCAGGGCACTTAAGAGGATGGCTGTAAAATGATAAACAAGCGAGCGCTATTTAGACAAATTAAATAAATAGAATCAGCTTGCAAAAAGGAAAAACCCTCTAAATCCTTGAAATCATCTATATCAAAATTGCAGCGCTAAAGACACAAATAAAAACAGTGTATTTGACATAAGTTGCAATGTAAAGTGACAAGTGATATTTAAAGCGCTGACATTGAGGCAACAAAATGACAGTAGTGCCTCATCCTATATTGGATGAATATCAGTGACAAACGCACATCATAAACGTAAAGCAATCCATGAATAAACTTTTCCTTAAAAGTGCTTATATCATCCAGTGTATGGGAATATTGGTCGCTTCTCACTGGAATTGCATAAATATGGTGCTCGTGACTTCTTGTGGATAAAATAAAAGAGGTGTGCTTGCACTCACCAGACGCACAACCAAATTGTGCATATAAATGATATTCAGAAGGGCACTAATGGCCATCTAAGAACCAATGGGGATAAGGC